GATTGCCGGGAATATGTTTTCCAGCTGCTGGGGAATTGCCGAACCTAGGAGGATGGTAGGCCAACCCGGCCCATCATGAAACTCCAAACCCGACATCCTGAACCCTAGAGTTTGTGATCGTTATTGATATTAGTATTAGTTTCCTTACTAGTTATCTTTATTATGGTTATGGTTCAATGATTCTTTGACGCTTTCTGCTTTTATAATAATATACTTATCAATATAAGTGTTATTGTCATTGTTATCGTTTGGAAGAGGTGAGGCTGCGATGGAGTGTGGCTTCAGTTTTTGTTATGGCAAAATTGGGGGCGGGCATCGTCTGAGGCTCCTTCCAATAAGGATGGGTTTAGGGTTTAGGGCTTGCAGCTACTATTTTGCCAAACTCACCTTACAGGCTAGGCATCGCCCTGCTGAGAGCAAGCGGATCTTAAGAAGAAGCATGATGGCCAACGGCATAAGGTCTATGTAAACTACGAAAGTTACGAAAGTCTTTCAGCTACGATTTGCCGGTGCTCGAAGGATTCCACTTTGCGTCACAGGCAGGAAGGGCTATGGAGCACACCAAAAAATGCCTGTATGACTGTTGTCCTTTGTCGTCAAAGCTCACACTGCACACCTATTATAGGGGCCTTAACAATCAGAATAGGGTTTCGGGGTATCTTATCTGTTACTATACTTATAACAAGGAACCCCCCAAAATAGTATAGGTATTTATTAAGGCCCCTATAGTAAATCACAAAAGAACTGCGAGCCCAGGACCGGATACCCTCAACTCCCGATGCCAACACTCTGCAACCCAAGCCTCACGTCCGGTCCCTGCCACCTGGCATGTATCCCCCGCCCCCAAAACCCTGCCAACTAAAATGTAGGGGCCTTAGTAATAAGAATCTGGCTTTGGGCTCTGTTATTCTACAGGTATCATAAGGTACTATAAAAATGCGGCTGATGATCTAAATCCTGCATTATCCTAAATAAGGAATATACCATAATTCGCATAGTTTAGGGTCATTCAGGTAATGCAGGATTTCTATCATCAACCGTAGTATTGGTAAGTGTTAAAAGTCCCTGTGTTAGGCCTTCTCAGCGGCTTCCGGCACCAACAGCTCCTTGTCTCGGATTCGGATGCTAACCTTGGATTTTGCATCCGCTTTGGAGGGCTTGACGGTTCAGGGTATAGGGTTTATAGACCCAATCTCTTTGGGATGGCGGGCGCCCTAGAGACCTAACATGGCGAACCCAAGCATACCAACCCCGAAAATCCTAAATCTTACATATACCCTAAGCCCCCTTCCCTGAATTCTTTCTCCTTAAACGCAAGCTTGAGCTTTCAGAAGCCCAAACTGTTCATTTCTGGGCTTCCAAAACTGTGGGGTTTCAGATGCAAGGCTGTGATGAAAGCCCGAGGACCTAAGAGGTCCCTCCCCAAACCCAGTTTTGGAAGCTTCAATCCACCAGTCATCGAATCAGAAGCCCGCAAGGCCTTGAAGGGCTTCGATAGGGCACAGGGCTTTAGGGTTTGGTGTCTTGGCTTTAGGATGTAGGTTTTAGTTTGGGGAAAGCCTTACAAGCTTTTTGTGGCTTCGGTGTTAGCCTAGTAAGTGCCCTCGGCAAACTCAAGGGATCAAAGCACGCAGCCTGCCAATGGCAGAAAACTTCCTGGGCCGCTATCTTCCTAAGCCCTCCTTCGCTCATACATACTAACACCCTGCATATGCATATGCATATACATACACATACACACCATATACGTAATGCATATTGAAGGCAGGTGGCCCAACCAGATCGTGGCCCCGAACCAGCCACGAGAGCATACTGCAAGCGAACTCCCTGACGACCGATCTCCTCGGGACGATGTAGGGAGCCGGATACTGGGACCTAAACCCCCAACGGTAGGAAAAATAATGGCCCAACCACCTGTAAAAGGCTATTATTCTACATACTTTGGGGTCTAGGGAATAGAGTTTTGGGAAGGTTCTACTGGGTTTTGGGTACAGTAAAAAATCTTTAGAGAGGGGGGGCCTTAAGGAATAGTATAACAAATAACAAATCATTCCGACCCCTACAAGGTTACCGGAAGACACATCCACGGGCGGCTCCTGAATCAGCGACTTAGTCGCCAAGCGCTCCTGAGCAAGGCGAAAAGACAATCCACGACCTACAAAACTCCGTGCAGAGTCGCAAATAAACTCCGGCCTCTAACCGTACAAACTCAACCGACCGGGACCCGTGGCCCTTGCAAAAAGGCTACAAACACCCCCCTCCTGCTTCTCTTCGCTGGTCAGACCTGAGAGCATGGTTTGAGCTGCTTAGTTGCTTTGGGATTGTTATAGGGGTTAGGGGTTCAGGAGTTTGTGCTTCGGGTTTAGGGTAGTGGTGTTGGGGCTTAGGGCTTAGACGAGTGTAGGGCTTCAGGGCGGAGGGCTGTGGGGCTTTTGGTCTAGGGTTTACCGGCGTAAGGCTCGATGTGTAGGGATGCCATATGCTGGACCCTGACCATTCCTCACCGTAAATCCAGAAACTCGGAACGCTACAACACAGCGAAGGGTCAAAAACGCAAGCATCCCTGGACCAAGCGTCCATGTTGAACTCTAGACAATGCTCCTTGGATTCGGGACATTGGACCCGAAACCTGAAGCCACTAAAGACCGGCCAGATACTTGCGAAGTCCTTACCTTCCAGAATCCCTATGAAAATCGAAACTCTGTCAAGCCCGTATAAAGCAGTGAAAACACTGCTTTCAATCCGCCGAGAAAAAACTCAGGGTGCCTGGTCCGGATCGTACCAGCAGTCCGCCAGTGCCCTCGCCACCAGCAACGCGCCATAGGCCGGGCATCCACTTCTACAAGAGTTGGGTCGTGGTACTGTGTGTTGTGAGAGGTCGCATGGTCTACTTGATTTTTTGGGCATTGCAGGCTAAGCAGGGTTAGAAACTACAGTTAGTCATAGCCCAAGTTACGGTTCTTCTAGTCCCAGTCTAAAAGACATGAAACCTTAAATCCAGCTTCAATTGGGCCTCATGAACCCTGAACCAACTTGAAAGGCTCAGGAATGCGCTTACCATACTGCGCTTTAAACATAACAGGCGCTATTGCTCATTTTTCGGGCCCTCAGAGGCTGCGGTTCGGGGAATTTTATTGTAAGGTCTGGGGCTCAGTGATCTCTTTTAAGGCCAGCTTCAATTCGTGGACCTCAGCCATCCTATACACCCTACCCAAGGGCCCCAAAGCAGTTCCTTGTTGGGGCTCATATATAGAACCCTGTAAGGTAATCCCAAGAAGGAACTACTATACGGAATCCGGGTAAACCCTGATTGCTAAACCCCACTTGACCAGACTAGGCCAAGCCGAGTCGGGCCGCTTGGCTCGGCCAGCTTATGCCAGGCTGGGCCAGGCTAGACTACCAATGTACACATACACTACAGTACGATACACTACTGTAGGGTACTGCAAGCGCTGTGATGAACGTGAACTGCATTATACACCATACGATGCTATTCCATTCTTTGCTCGGCTGCTATGCCAGGCTGGGCTAGGCTAGGCCAGGCTGGGCCAGCTGTTTGCAATGCTCTACTAGACCCCACCCTGTTACATGATGCTGACTCATTGCAACATCTGAGGCCTGCTGCTTGGGGAGCTCACACTGCCCCAAAGGCCAACGCCGTCAAGGCTAGGAAAAAACATATAATTTTTGGGGGTTCCTTATTATGAACATTTTATCATGGGTCCCAATACCCTATTCTAATTATTAAGGCCCCTCCAAATCCGAAGCTCCGAAAGAAACTGTTAAGACTCCAGTTCGGAAATCTGCACACCGCCGCCTCATGCAAGCGAATCTTAAAAATCGATAGAGCGAGCGCAAAGCTCGACGAAGGCCATGACTTCGAACCATACACACACTTTAAGAAAGACTCTGGGCTTCAGATGGTTTGCAGTGTTTGTTACTGTGAGCAGTAGAACTCGCAATGGTGTTAGTTCTTTTTTCTGTCGTCACCATTAAGTAATCTGGCTCGATATTACCATGACACCGTTTACCCTAAGCGGTAATTAATCTGGCTGGCTATTGGGCTTTATACGGCTGAGGGCATCTGTAAGGGATTGTTCGCTGACGCGGCAAGGTGGTGATAGCGGGTGCTGGGGCTATAGTAACTCTTTTTCTAAGCCCTTCTAAGTCGGGTTTGCGCCCAGGACCTCGGGTTTAGGAGCTTGGATTTAGGATGGCGGGTTCTGTGGTTTCTGGTCCAGATTAAGTCTACGGCTGTTGAGACTCTGTCTGAAGCGAGTCTGGCTCGAGGATCGCAACAGCTTCAACCGCATAGGTTTCGCTCCAGCTTCCGGGTTTCGTGTTTAGGGTCGAGGGTTCTGGCTTTATGCTTTTGGCGTGTGAAGGTTGTAGCCCTAGCATCTATTGTGGATTCGGCGCATGTGGTACAGGATGTAGTTCCAAGTAAGCCTCCACCTTACCAGCTGGCTCCTAAGAACAAGGGCCCTTCAAAAGGGGATCCCCTGTCCAGGAACCGCATGAGATGTGCCCAATCGAGGGCATGCGAAGCTGCGGGGAGCCCCTCGTTGGATGTGCCAACCTTAGGCTTTAGGGCTTAAGGCTCTGGTAACCCTGCGCACTCTGCCTTCGGGTAACAAAGCAAATCCTTAAAGCGTTCTTGGTGGAGCTCCCGCACTAGCTCGAGCAGGAAACGAAATGAAACTAATAGCTACAGGGCCCCATCAGACCCTCACAAGCCAAAAAAGGTGGATCCACCTCCTAAACTCCGGACCATGCAAGCCCATAGTTTGGCCAGGCCTCATCGGGTTTTACGGCGTTTATCCCGTTCGTGTGGGTGTCGATGTGCATAGACCAAAAACCACCCTAAAACCACGTAAAACCTTTACAATGCCATATCGAAGATCGACGGCTTCCATTCTGGGAAGCCTTCTAAACCCTACACTTTCAACTTCAACCTCGAACAAGTTTGGGAGGCACGGTCAACCCAGGCGTCACTCGGATCAGCCGCTTGCAGCGGGCCAAAAGCGCCTCTCCAAAGATCTGGGACGTGTCCAGGGTTTGAGGCTTGGGGTATGGGTTTGTTGGATGGGCGGTGGGTGCGGGGTGTGTCTACCGCCAAAAATCATGCGAGTTGAGGATAGCTGAAAAGTGAAGATAAGTGAAGGGTGTATGCAAGCTTTATCGATTTAGGGCTGAGGGTTTGAACAGTTAGTTTGACTATAGGATTTGAGCCAAGCGGCAGGCTCAGAGGTGCGGGTTTAAGCGTTTCGAGTTAGGCTTGGGATTTGAGGATTGAGGACTTGGCACCGCAAGGATTCAAGATCGATTGTGTTCCGGGCTAATGAGGTCTCAGGGATACATGTGGGAGTTTCCGAAAACAGGGGGCCCAACTATAGTACCCGAAAGAATCCAGTAGGATCCTCATTATATGGGCCCCACATTAAGGTCAAAGCCAGAAAGTTGGAATATGATTATCCTAACCCTTCTATGGTAAATTATAGGGCATCCTACCATGAAACCATATTCCAACTTTCTGGAGTTTCCTTTAAGGTACCCGAATTTTTGGAAACTCCCATGTATCGGTCTGGAGAGCCCCATGCCAGGTCCCAGGGCCCAGAAACTAAGCGCCATAACATTTAGGGTTTAGGGTTTAGGGTTTAGGAATCAAGATCAAGAAACTCCGAACTCCGCCCTCCAATGCAGCTACCAACTCGTCGGAACAAGTAAGTCGAACATTTTAAGTGATTTAGAAAAACTGTAGCGACTGACCGTGAGACGAAGAATTCCTACCGACGCTGGTCATATAGGGGCCTTACTAATTGGAATAAGGTTTTGGGGCCCATTATGCTATACTTACAATAAGGAACCCCCAAAATAGTATAGCCCCTATAGTAGACTTATGGCAGTCTAAGATCACCAGCCCGAAGAATTCACCGACGGTTTAAGCTGCTGTGTGGCTGGGTGCGGTGGTTTAAACAACTTCCAGTGTTGAGGTTTTGCAGGCTGTCTGGGTGAAGAGCCGAAAGCCTATCCTTAGCTCCTCTTGAAGACAGTCCGGTTTGACAGCTTTCTTTTGAATGTCCGCTGGTCGTCCTCTGGCAGTGCGGAGACCCAAATTTCAGGCTCCGCGCGAGAACGAAGCTGTGAGTTGAGGGGAGCTACTTGGAGGTTCATGGTAGTTATAAGTAGTGTTATAAGTAGGGTTATAAGTAGGGTAACTATACTTATAACCCATATTAGGGGACTTACAACTACCCATGAACCTCCAAGTAGTAGTCGAAACATGACCTACCACTCGGATCCGGTGAGGATGCTCGACACCTCCTTGGACCCCTAACTCCCCGTCTCCAAAGACATGGCAATCGCTGCTGCTAGCTCCTCATCGATCTCCTCGGGCTGCTCTGCCGGGGCTTCCCTGACCTGCGCTGAGCTCTGCCTGGGCTTCTCTCGCTGCTTCCGCTCTGCATACCTTAGTGACTCGCTTGAGGTTCAGGGTTTAGGGATGTTTTTGTTTGAGCTCCTTTTCTCCCCATCCCTTGCGGTTTAGGGTATAAGGGTTCAGGGCCTTCAAACCAAAGCCCAACCAAACCCACCAAAATTCTAACGAACCTCAGCAACCGAGGGGCAGCCTCTGGTAGACGTCCTGTCCAGACCACAAGGATTCGAACTTTCTCAGGTCGATCCAGACCTCTCCCCAGAGAGCCCAATATCCCTTAATTGAGAAATATAGCTTAACTCATAATATCAAACCCCTAATGATTTAAGGCATACTCATAATATCAAACCCCTAATGATTTAAGGTATGTTCCTTAATTAAGGGGTATTGACCTCTCCGGGCTTCGTGGATATTTGTCTTTCAGACTCGAGGACGGCCCCTAAACCTAAACCCGAAGTCCTAAACACTAATCCATTACTCACATAGTCCCGAGAGAAACTGCAAGTAATGCCAATCCCCAATTGCTGAAACCTAATTCCTAAACCCGAAAGGCCTACCTTGAGATGCATGTGCGCAACATTCTGGAAGTTCCCAGCATTCCTGAGCGAATTCTGGCGAAATCGTTTCAAGGGCTTCGGCGTCGGTTTCGACTGCACTCTCACGTGTGGGGTAGCCCGGGCAATGAAGAGCTGGGGTGAAGGGGTTCAGGGGTGTAGGGTTGTGCCTTGTTCTATGAAGTGTAGGGGGCTTGGGAATCAGAACCCCCAAAATCGTGCAAGGCATCAGGTGCATTTCGTCGAAGCCCCCGTGGCTTTGGGCCATCTCGGCCCCTACCTGCCAGAAGGTCGCCAGCTCCTGCATCCGTTCACCGGTGCTTCTTTGTTGCTCTTTGGAAGCACTCCAATATTCAGGCAAGTCAGCAACAACGACAACATGCCCTGCTAATACGCACACTCGGAAAAAAACCGGCCCAGGTCTGGGGTGAAGGGCCGTGAGGGGTTTCGCCTTCTTGGCCAGGGAACAGTTTGGTGTACACTTTACTATTATTACTATTATGATTATCATTATTGTTATTATGGCCACTATGGCAAAGGGGAGACTTCGCTTTGACCATGCCAGGCACGGGAAAGGAGCAGCCGTCCTCCCGAAACCCCGCCATGAGCCCGAGCATCCCAAGCCAGAAACCACAAAATCCCCTGCTGTACATTCCTAGACACGGGTTTAGGGTTTAGGATTTAGGGTATAGGATTTAGGGTTTAGGATTCAGGGTTTAGGGTTTAGGATTTAGGGTTTAGGGTATAGGATCTAGGGTTTAGGATTTAGAGTTCAGGGTTTAGGGGACCCAAAGCCCTGCAAGCCAACACCCTAGTTACCTTAAGCGCCAGAGTCCCAGCAAAGCAAAAGCCCTGATTGAAAATCCAATAACTACTGGAGCCCACACCCAAAAGCCTAAACCCTAAGCCCCAGGAGCCCAAAGCCGAAGGCACCTCATGGTATATCATAGTATATCATAGATGTCATAGTCTAGTAATTACAGTATGTTACAGAACATTATCCCTGATTCAAGGCTGCTCCTCGTCATCGAGCTCACTCTGGCGACGAACGACTTCGTCGTTCTTCAGTGCGCAGCGCGAGGCCCGGGAGTTGGGCGCCATCACGACGACGTAGCCTGGTCTTCTTACATTTGGTTAGTAGGGAATGGAAGATTGGTAGGAATAGTAGCTATAATTGTACCCCATTCCTCCATTCCCTACTAACAGAAGATAAGTCTGCCAAACCCTTCAGGGCGGTTTTTGGGGTTCAGGGTGATTTAGGGTTTCCTAAACCCTATAAACCTAAACCCTATGAGGTTGAGATTCTAGTCCGTTTCTACCGTAGTCAAAAGGGTCCAGAAAGTTCAGAACAACCCTGACATCTCTGCGAAGGTCCGGCAGGTCCGGCAGTCATCCCAAAAGCTTGAAGCCAAGACTTCTGAAACCATAGTCCGGAATATATCAAGTCGGATCACAAACCCTTAACACAAAGTCTTTACCCGAACTTTACCTTAAACCCCCCAGCAAAACCCGCAGGCCATTTGCCGGAACCCTGCCGCCGAGCAGGTCTTCGAGCAGGGAGCCCCGCAACTTGGAAAGCCGTCAGCCTAAACCCCTCAACCCTGAACCCAACACCGAAGGCGCAAACATCGACCTCAACTAACGCCCTGAGCCGCAGCCGCAAACACCCCTGGCTCCCGAATGGACTTCTAAACGGCCTCCCCGAAAGTTGATCTACCCTGGACGTGGTCGAAACCATGAACAATGCAAGACACATGACAACGATACACCTTACTTGTTTCCAGTCCAACAAAGCTCTCCAAAGTCATGAAACTCTGAAAACCCTAGAAAGGCTTTACAAACCCCCTACAGGCATCCCAACAAACCCCAGCCTTCCTGGCCAAGGGGCAAGAGCGCCCCTGAAAGTCTAAGCTGCAGCGGACCAGTGCTTCGGGCTCCTCCGGGTTTAGGGCTTCTTTGAAGTTCTAATATAGAGGCCTTAGTAACTAAAGTAGGGCTTTGAGGCCCAGTTGTTTGGGGTTCTAATGAATATGGAGGCCTTCATAAGTAAAATAAGGTTTTGAAGCCCAATATACTAAAATGGAAACAAAGACCCCCCCCTCCAAAAAAAAAAGTATTGGTAACTATTTAGGCCCTATAGTACTTGGAGGTTCATGGGCAGTTATTGGTGAGGCTATAAGTAGGGTAACTTTACTTATAAGTTATAAGTCATAGCCCATAATATGATTAGGGGCAATATTGTAACCCCACGTATAACTGCCATGAACATCCAAGAAAGTGCCCATAAGAACTAAGAACCCTATAAAACCCTCTGATAATAAGGAACTTTATATTATAGAGTCCAAGGTTTGGGTGATGTTTGGGGTGTAGGCTGTGCCAAGCGAAAGGACTTTGTGAGCGCGCGTCAGTCTTGGGACGTCCCCAAGACCACCCACTTGAAACCCTCTGTGTTGGTAGGGATTGTATATTTCCCTAAGTACGCATCTCATGCAGATGGTCCGTGTTATATACTTCTGTGCGCATCGTGCTGTGCAACACATTCGTGCAGTTGTCCTCGGCCGAACGGTTATATCGCATCGCCATGTCATGCGACGTGCGATTTTCCTGTTCTATCCTGTGCGACATCATGTCTATAGTTATGTTATAGGGACGGAGACGACGACATTGGCACCTAAATCCTGCTTGCAGCCGCAAACACGTCTGAGTAGGATGCCCAAACAAAAGACAAAATTTGGCCGGCAGTAGGCCAGCTTTCGGATACTTGACTCCAAGTCTTTGACAGTTTGCAGTTGTTTGACGTTGTTGGGTGTCAGGATATAAAAGTTGAGTTTTAGGGCTACCTGCTTCGGGTTGGGTGCCCGTCCCCAGTCGCTCACCCTGCACAGCCCTACGACTTAAGAACACCCACCCCAAATGCCCTACGACCCTCATTAACAGCTCTTTCAAAGGCACCACAAACCGGAAGGACTGCCCTAGAACCATTGAGAAAGACACTCAAAAGCTCCTCCCCACGCAGGAGGCAGCTCCGCAGCGTCAGGCCTGGCACTTCGACATGCTTCCCGGAGGCATCCTCGCAGGTATTAAAGCGTGTCTACTTCATTGTAAACTGCGTAGTGTACGTTGTATATTGTATATCGTTTGTTATAGAGTACATATGGTGCGGCATATATCTCAGATAGTATAGGGTTTCGGAGATTCGGGTTTAGGCTTGCGGGATGCACGGGTTCCGGGTTCAGTGCTGCAGAGTAGAGGACCTCAATTTTTAGGGTTGAGGAAATTGCGGTTTAGTGCGTGTTGGGTTTTGGAGAAGGGTGTCGAGGTGGGCTTTGTTTTCTTCACTACTTGCACCGGCTTGCCTGTCCCACATCCCCAGATCTAGAGACTGTTGATGATCTCATCTTGTGGAGCACAAGCTGCGAGTGATTCTGTCAAAGCCCCAAGTCCGAAAGAGATCTATCGTGCTTTGCCTGTGCCTCCAGCCTGAGGCATCAAGCCCACCTCCTCCTACCATGCCAACGATGCACGATTTTCCACTGCTGCTGGTAGAATATACAGTACATTAAGATGAAATCCAAAGCACATTCGTACATAGTATCTGTTAAAATATACCATGCATTAAAGGAAATACTACATAAACAAAGTACATTAGTACGTAGTATTGGCTCGTCGGATCGGGTGGAGCCCTTCGGCTAATTATACAGCACGCCTGAGAAAGTCACAGAAACAAGCATGGAGTTTCCGCAGGTAGAGGACATGAACAAAGAGAGCAGCAGGCAGGCGCAGGCACAACCACACGAGTTTATGAGATAAGTCTTCAGCAGGCCCGTGTCCTGGTAGATGATGGGAGCGTCCAGGTCATCCGCATTAGCCATGGCGGGAATAAAGCGGACGACTGCGTTCGTCCCCGCCACGTACACAAAGAAGCCTTTCTTCCACAGTCAGTTTCTTCGGGATGTGGCTACAATGAACTTATGACATTTTGGTTGATGAGAGGTGGCGAGGGCATGGAGCCTTGAGCGTGCCTGCGCTTTCTCTTCTTTGCGGCAATGGCCATCACCGTGCAAATGGTGTCAGCATGACCATCGTCATCGTCATGACGTCATCATCGTCATCAGCATCATCACCGTCATGATCATGGTCACCATCACGATCATCGTTAGCGTAATCGTCATCCACATCCGCACCACCGTCACCATAGAAGCACCAGTACCAGAGCCAGCACCATCACCACCAGCGACATCATTGATCTCAGCATCATCTGCTTCATCATAGTGATAGTGATCCACCCCACAATGAGCATACACCTTACAGTGATCATCATTTTCACCGCTACCACTAACAAGTTGTTATCACTCTCATTCTGATCATATTCTTAGTAATCATCAAATTCAATTTAACCGTCGCAAACGTCAGCATCATTATCATCATGAGCAGCACCGAAATCAGCATCGTCATCGTCATCATGTTCATCGTCAGCAACATGGCCACGAACATCATCATCATCATCACCATCATCATCATCAATATAACAATATCCCGTATCGTCATCACCGCCATCATCATTAACACCACCGTCGTCGTCACCATCATCGCCGTCATGATCAACATAATCAAGCTCTTCATCATCTTCATCAACATCCCCATCTCTAAGTTCATCATCATAATCGCTTTCCGCTGAACACCACCACCGTCACCAGTATCATTTTCATTGTTATCATCATCACCATCGTTGTCGTCGTCATCCTCAACCTCATCCTCATCATCACGATCGCCAACATCACCGACGTCCTCGCCCTCATCATCATCATCGTCATCATCATCATCATCATCATCATCACCAGCATCATCACCAGCATCCTCCTCTTCATTATCATCGTCATCATCATCATCATCGCTCTCACCTTCGTCTTTAATCGTCGTGGAAAAATTCGAAAAGCGAAAAAACACCAAAACTGCTCGTCTGCTTGCTCAGAAGCCTGCCGCAGCCGCTGCTTGGCAGACGGGTCGACAGTCCTCCGCCCAAACCCTACTAGTGGGGGTTGTCCTAAGCTCCAAAGACAATGCCAGCACTTGTTCCGCATCCGGTGGCGGGAGTTCAACACTGACTTTGAGGTCCTGGGCCTAAACTTGCGAAACACCTTGAAGTAGCCCAATCCACAAGGTGGCTACACGTAGGTTTGTGCAGTCAAGCAGTCGTGCCAGACAGCAATGGATCACCAGTTGTGGGCTTCTGTACTCACGTACCTTGAAATTACCCAGTGAGCCGTCAAATACCAAGCAGTATTCTTTCATACTCTGGTCATATCCTGGCATCAACCAGCTTCTCAGAAACCCTAGCCCAGGCCCCGAAGCCTGATTACTGATTACATCTCCGCGTTCTTCGCTCTCACCTCGCCTCTAAATGCTCTCCGCTGAAGCCTCAGAGCGGAAAGTGCAGCATGAAAATGTCACGAGCAGCTGGGTCCTCATTCGTAGAAGAGTATGACAGAATATCTTACTAAAGACCTCTCTTACATTCTAAAGCCAATATTGCCTGAACCACTGAAAAGCCCAAACCCTAAACTTCTTAAACAGTCCTGAAACACCCCATACCCCTGCAGCGCCACCTCGGTAAGCAAAAAGAGCGCCAGGGCTTCATCGCCCGAAACCGCCGCTGGAAGATCAGTGGCTCCACCCGGCCAGGGCAGCAGGCGGAGGTGATAGGAAGTGAGCCCGAGCTCCTTCTGTACTTGGAAGGGCAGGGGACTTAGTAAGTAGGTTATAAGTAGAGTTATAAGTACCCTAAATGGAGTTACCCCAATTATAACCCTACTTATAACCTACTTACTAAGTCCCCTGCCCCTCCAAGTAGATTTTAGGGTTCAGGGTCTTGGGGTTTTGGGGTGCCCAAGTCGAGTGCGCGGTTTCGGTTTAGGGCTTAGGATTTAAGATTTCGGATTTAGGGTCTAGGATTCAGGCTTCAGGGCTAGATGCAGGTAGGAGGTGCCCGACCCGTATCTGCACGGGGTGCTCAAGTTTAGGAGATTCCTCGCCCGAATCCTTGGAGCAAGGAGGCGGGGGAACTGAGGGTGAGGCCCAGAGCTCGCGCTGCACGCAAGTCCCGAAGCCCATTCCGAAGAAGCGGTTTCGGGTCCCGGGTTTAGGAAACCCTAAACCGAAGAAATGTCGACCCCATACGAAGCTCAACGCAATGAAGTCCCACCTTCGAGTTGTGAAGCTAGGGGTGGGTGCAACTTGCCAGTGCTGGGCCTTGTGTCAATCAAGCCTCTGGAAATCCGCTTCTAAGATTTAGGAGCAGCTCTTGCGAGCCAGGCAACCAAGATCTGACATATAATGTACTATGACCATGCATAATAAATTGTAGCTGTATATATATATATATATATATATATATATATATATACATATATATATATATATACATATACATACATACATACATACATATATATATATATATATGCACACACACGCGCATTTTTGTAGGCATAAACGTAGTAAAACGCAATCACAGCCTCCGGACAGCTTATCTGAGCTCTCCTCCTCGATAACTCGAAGCACATCTCGCATGAAGGGAACGAACTGCGCCGTTCGTACGTACTGCTCGAAACACGTGGCACTCGCATTGTCACTGGGAGCTAGTGCTGACATAATGGTCCCACGCTGGCTGACGCCGACATGGTGGATGATCCGCTTTGCTGGCTCCATGGCGCGGGACAGCTTTCAGGTCAAAACCATGTTGACGGGTTACGGGAAGTACAGTAGCATACAAAATGCAACATGTGGCTGCAGTGTCTTGGCAATCCAGGATATGCCATGCACGGACAGCACAAGGATCAGATCACAAAGGCCGTACTCATGAAATCATGAACCTTGAAGCTTCTAGTTGGGCTAGCGCGACAGCACTTGCTGGCTACGCGCTGATGCGGACACATGCGGAAGTGAGCCCTTGCAAGGACTCACTCGTGGTGCTTTTACGGGCCAAGTGCAGACATTTCCGGTTCCTACTCCCTGCTCTTTCAGCAGCATCACTCGACTTAGAGGTTAAAGAACTGTTAAAGAGCTTACATTTCGAAGCCGTAGAAGAATCAAGCCACACTTGCACTGGTAGAGAATTGGTCCCAAACCACAGTACATGCCAGGCTCAAGCCCCAACGGAATGCCTCAGTCACGACCTTACCCCAAAACATAACCTTACACATCCTGAAGCCTAAGCGCCCTAAGCCAGGGCCTTCTTCTCCACCGCCACCCACTCAGGGCACTGGCAGTCCGCCTCACTGCGTTTTGCAGCGACCTTTCTCCAGCACCGGAACAGGGGTTAGTTGAACAAATTCGAACACCAAGGTTCCATACGGGAGACATATGGGGGTTGTGGCTTCGGGAGGTAATTCCATGTTGTATGTGTGCTTAGGGCACTTGAAGTTAGGGTCTCGGGCGCGCTGGCGTTAGGCTTCAGGTTGAAGTGTGAGATTGGGGAATCATGAGGCAAGGGTTTAAACGGTCAGGTTTGAGATTTCTATAAAACCTGAAACTCAGGCCCAGACTTTGAACTCTACTAACATATAGTTATACAGACATATATATATATGTATAGATATATACATACATACATAGATACATACATACATACATATATATATATACATGTAGATGAATATAGATATACACACATATATACATATATATATACACACATACATATACAGACAAAGATAAACCCACCCTGAACCTTGTTAATCCTCCAAACTCGAAGTGCTCCGGAGTTTTGGGCAGCTGCAGTCTTCCACTCAAAGAACACTGTCAGGGATCGATGGCACACGATCACTCGAGGTTTTGATTATGTAGCTATGTAGTTGAAAAACGACATGGTGGCCACAACTGCCGAAGGTCAGGGAGATGCCATCGCAACATGTGCAGAAGCTCGAGACGGAATGCTATACACAAAGAAATCGTAGAGCTTGGATAAAAATCATCAAATCAGGAAAGCCTTGTGTCAACGCACCAAAATCTGCCGTTAGAAGCTGCGGGCGCTCCACTCCTCATCGCTGAGCAGCCTGCACCACATCCTTGAACGTGTAGAAGCCCTTGGCAGCTGCCATGGCATCCAGCGGATTCACCTTGGAGAACATGTTGTTCGGGACGCTGGCGTCGACAACACCTGCCAGGGAGTTGTAGACGTCCATGACGGTTGCCTTTGGCACTGATGCCACCACTCGGCCCAAAGCCGCTTTCACGGCCTCGTAGTCTGCAGCAGAAGTCACGCCCTTGGAATCGATGCTGCCGATGGCTTTGTGGTGGGCTTCGGCTGCGGCCTTCAGGAGGTTTCCATCCATCTGGCTTCCCATCACGATCATCTTGTCAATAGCCTGCAGGACGCAATTTAAAAACGACAGGATGTCAAAGTCCTAGACGTCGAGGGGTTGGGAGGGGGATGGAGGGGGCTGACCTTCAGAAGGCATGCACGCACGCAAGCTAACCTGCACACCGGCACAGACATGAATCAGCCAGTGCCTTCAGGGTCTGCGTCGCTGTTTTGCCCGGCAGCGGCTTCAGGTAGATGTCGCTCAGCCAGTCCGCCTCCTTCAGGAAAGGATACGAGGAGTCGGAGAGAGCCTTGGCCGCCGTGCCCATGGCGTCCCCGGATGGGACAGTAGCTGGAGCACTGGCCTTTGCCACCTGATTTTTCGCCACCACATCCTTAAACTCCAGGAAGCCCTTGTAAGCCTTCTTTGCATCCTCAGCCTTCACCAGCGACTTCATGTAGGCCGGCACCTTGGGGTCCGTGATGTCCTTCACGGAGTCGTAGACTGCCATGACCTTCTCCTTGGGGACGGAGTCCACCACTCGACCCAGGGCGGCGTTCACGTTATCCAATCTGCTCGGGAAGTCACACCATTGGGGCCGCTGACGCTTCCGATGGCCTTGTGGTGAGCCTCTGCGGCCGCCTTCAACAGCTTCGGGTCCGCAGCGGCTCCCATCTCGATCATCTTGTCCTCTCTCCTTCAATAACCGGGCCCCTCAAAAAAGTTCAAACTTTCGAAGATAAACCACATAAGTATTGCAAAAAAGTAACCCTCTCCCATTGGCTAAGGGTCGATTGCTTTCAAAGCCTTCAGCGGCTGGAGCTTGCCGGGGGCCTGGAGAAAGATGCCGTTGTTCCAGTCGACCTCCTTGGCGAACTCATAAGAGGCGTCCCCCAGCTTTTTCGCTGCGTCACCGATCTCATCGGCGAACGCCGCTGGAGCCATCATGGTGGCAGCCGGTGCCGCAGCCAGAGGCGCCGCGCTCCGGCGCAGGGGCCCGGGCACGAAGCTGCGAGAGAGCCCACAGACAGCCGGCACGCCTGCGGCCACTGCCATGCCGGTGGTCGCCTTCCGCACGGAGCGCACCATGTTGAGAAGCCAAGCAAGAGTCAAAAGTTTAGATGATCTTAAAAGGGGCACCACGCCGCGGCAGCTTGAGCCACAGATATCAGGCCACGGCTAATACAACGATAAAGACACCCACACCAAAAATCATCCTGAACTCCATGCGCTCCTTCATGCAGCACTGGCTCTGGCCCCTGGCCTGGCCGCCTTGGGTAGGGTTGTCAAACTTGGAGCTTAGAGCGTAAGACTGCAAGCAATGCCTTTTCTGAAACGGATGCATCGACGAAGATGCCATCGCAACATGTGCAGAAGCTCGAGACGGAATGCTATACACAAAGAAATCGTAGAGCTTGGATAAAAATCATCAAATCAGGAAAGCCTTGTGTCAACGCACCAAAATCTGCCGTTAGAAGCTGCGGGCGCTCCACTCCTCATCGCTGAGCAGCCTGCACCACATCCTTGAACGTGTAGAAGCCCTTGGCAGCTGCCATGGCATCCAGCTGATTCACCTTGGAGAACATGTTGTTCGGGACGCTGGCATCGACAACACCTGCCAGGGAGTTGTAGACGTCCATGACGGTTGCCTTTGGCACTGATGCCACCACTCGGCCCAAAGCCGCGTTCACGGCCTCGTAGTCTGCAGCAGAGGTCACGCCCTTGGAATCGATGCTGCCGATGGCTTTGTGGTGGGCTTCGGCTGCGGCCTTCAGGAGGTTTCCATCCATCTGGCTTCCATCACGATCATCTTGTCAATAGCGTGCAGGACGCAATTTAAAAACGACAGGATGTCAAAGTCCTAGACGTCGAGGGGTTGGGAGGGGGATGGAGGGGGCTGACCTTCAGAAGACATGCACGCACGCAAGCTAACCTGCACACCGGCACAGACATGAATCAGCCAGTGCCTTCAGGGTCTGCGGCGCCGTCTTGCCCGGCAGCGGCTTCAGGTAGATGTCGCTCAGCCAGTCCGCCTCCTTCAGGATAGGATACGAGGAGTCGGAGAGAGCCTTGGCCGCCGTGCCAATGGCGTCCCCGGATGGGACAGTAGCTGGAGCACTGGCCTTTGCCACCTGATTTTTCGCCACCACATCCTTGAACTCCAGGAAGCCCTTGTAAGCCTTCTCTGCATCCTCAGCCTTCACCAGCGACTTCATGTAGGCCGGCACCTTTGGGTCCGTGATGTCCTTCACGGAATCGTAGACTGCCATGACCTTCTCCTTGGGGACGGAGGCCACCACTCGACCCAGGGCGGCGTTTACGTTATCCCAATCTGCTCGAGAAGTCACACCATTGGGGCCGCTGACGCTTCCGATGGCCTTGTGGTGAGCCTCTGCGGCCGCCTTCAACAGCTTCGGGTCCGCAGCGGCTCCCATCTCGATCATCTTGTCCTCTCTCCTTCAATAACCGGGCCCCTCAAAAAAGTTCAAACTTTCGAAGATAAACCACATAAGTATTGCAAAAAGTAACCCTCTCCCATTGGCTAAGGGTCGATTGCTTTCAAAGCCTTCAGCGGCTGGAGCTTGCCGGGGGCCTGGAGAAAGATGCCGTTGTTCCAGTCGACCTCCTTGGCGAAGTCATAAGAGGCGTCCCCCAGCTTTTTCGCTGCGTCACCGATCTCATCAGCGAACGCCGCTGGAGCCATCATGGTGGCAGCCGATGCCGCAGCCAGAGGCGCCGCGCTCCGGCGCAGGGGCCCGGGCACGAAGCTGCGAGAGAGCCCACAGACAGCCAGCACGCCTGCGGCCACTGCCATGCCGGTGGTCGCCTTCCGCACGGAGCGCACCATGCTGAGAAGCCAAGCAAGAGTCAAAAGTTTAGATGATCTTAAAAGGGACACCACGCCGCGGCAGCTTGAGCCACAGTTGGTGAGGCACCTCAACTCCTGAAATGTGCGCAAGGGGTTTGTGGATGAGGGGCTCAACACTAAACCCGAAAACCCTAAAACCCCGAAAACCCCTAAACCCTTTACCCTGAAAGGCAACCGACATGTGGCCTCGCTGAGTGTCGGAGTAGGGCCGGAGGCAGCAGCAAGGCAGCCTCACTCTCCGTCGCTTCGGGGTGTCGGGGCTTTGGGTTTAGTGTTTTCAGTGTTTAGGGGTTTGGGGTTTTAATTTTCCCGTTTTTCCACTGTGGCTCTTAGGGTTTAGGGTTCGAGGGTCGCCGCCTCGCAAACTTAGCCCTCAAGGCTGAAGGGGTCAGCCCAGTAATCATAGTAATAATAGTCAGGACAACTTGAACCCCAAGCAGGTCCTAAAAACCTTCAACCCTAAACAGTAAAAGCGTGAACCCCGTGAGTTGCTACAGGTAAGAGACCCTGCTGACATCTTCAAAGCCTGAATACCAAACCGAAAGCACCTTGGTCGCCGCTGCCCCAGCGCCTGCAGAGCCAAGGGCATTGTTGGAGCTGTGGGGCTTTTGCGTTCAGGGTGACAAGAGATCTAAGTTCTTAGATATCTAAGCTTTCTTTAAGGGATATGTCGGGTTTCAGGATTTTGAAAGTTTTCAGGGTGTTGAGTGTGGGCTTCAAGGCTTTTGGGTTTTAGGGTTTCGAGGGTACATGAGCTTGCGGCTTTAGTGTTTAGGGTGATTTGGTCCTTAAGTTTAGGCTTTCAGGGCTAAGGACTAGGTGGAAAGAACAACGTTCGAGGCAGTTTGGAATTTTAGGGCTTGGTGCCTCTCGAATGTTAGCGCTGAAGGCTTTGCCATGGGACACTCCAATCTTACGTGAAGCCTGTACCTCAAGATCGCAAACGCTAGACCCTCAAAGAGCCTTAAACCCCAAACCCTATGTAGATCCTGAACCCTGAATTTAGGGCTCAAGGATTCCAGGAAAAGCGCGGAGCTTGGCGCTTCGGGCTCGGCCGTTCTTGATGCTTTTCGTCCTGGGCACTTAAGATTCCGGGTAACGGTCTCGAGGTTGCTACCCTTACTTGTTCCCAGACCTTCCAAAATCCCTTAATTAAGGAAGATACCTTAAATGATAATAGGATCCCAAATATGAATTAAGGTATATTGCTTAATTAAGGGATTTTGGAAGGTCTAGGTTGCACAAACCACTCACAGGCAGGGCCTTTCAAGACAGGCAATGAGCCCCTAAACCCTAAACCCTAAACCCTAAATCCTAAACCCTAAACCCTAAACTACAAGAACTCAGCAACCACTGAGACTGAAACCCCCAAACTGGCAGACCGGTGGTCCACAAACCCCGACACTAGGGAGCACACGGTTTAGACCCAGACTATAATTCACATGGAGTTTCATGTTAATAAGGACCCCTAGGTATATATATATATATATATATATACCCTTAATAGAGCTATTATATACCCATTAAATCATTATATAGCCCATTATAGGGGGAGTGCTTTTTTTGATATGAAAAATCTCGCTCTTACAGAATTCTCGGCCCCAAAGCACACTGAAATCGGAAAACCCTCCCGAACCCTAAGGCCCTAAAGGGAACTCCAGACAGTTGGAGTATGGTTTCAGGGTAGGATACCCTATAATCTACCATAAAGGGTTTAGGATAATCATATTCCAGAACCCTACTTGAAGGCTCATGGGACTTAGTAAGTCAGGTTATAAGTAGGTTACAATTAGGATAACCCCACTTAGGGGACTTATAACCCCAATTAAAACCTACTTACTAAGTCCCATGATCCTCTAAGTAAGGCCCTAAACGGCCCCAAATTGCAAAAGCCTACTGGTCGTAGTTATAATCATCTTCTCAGAAGAGTCATGCACTGATGCCCGCTGCTCTTGATCTGTACGCCAGCTTCACCTGCCTAGCCGAATAAGCAGCAACCCTAAATCCTGAACCTGATCCCGAACCCGAAACCCGATCTCCAAACTGCAATTAATGCCTGCTCCGGCGGTGAGGCGCAGTGCAACGGCCACGGCTCCCTCTGCAGATGGGCCGCCCCACCTGGGGACTTCTCGAATTTGAGGGTCTGCAGGGTCTTGTCGGATCCCTCGGCTGGTTGAGAGGTAACGTTATATAGTATAGTAGAAGCGATATATATATATATATATATATATATATAAGTGAATACACCAAAATGCAATACCATAGAATATAACATCTATAATATATATATATATATGTATCATATGTATATCTCCCAAAATGCGTGCTGCCGTTCTTGTAGGAATCTCCGAGATAAAAAGCATCATGCTCGTTACTGAAATCCTTCTTGCGCGAATCGAACTGTGGCCATCTCCCATCCCGGGATGGTAGGTTTTGACTGGATAAGATTCCACAGACTTTCAAACCCTTTGAGGCGACGGCCCGAGTGTCATCTGAAGGAACCCCGCCGCCGCTCCCAAGACGCCACCGGCGACGATGAGGGTGAGCTCGTCCTGGCATGCTCCTTTAAAGGGATCCTTTAAGGACTCCTTTAAGGGTTCCTATGAGGGATCTATAAGGGGTTTAGGTTTTAGGGTTTAGGGTGAGCTCGTCCTGGAAGCATACAAGAGGGCCTTTGGGACGTTAGGGCTTTGGGGTGTGTTGTAGTAAAGTTCTGTCTGCATCATGGAAGCACATGAAATAGGTTTCGCAGTACCCACACATAGCAACATCCAATCTGAGGTTTGTACTGAGTTCATGAGTTCAGAGGCCGGTGGACACACTGTAAGTCTTGCGGGTTAGGTGCACTTCTGCGTCCGGCCGTGTCGGATTCCTCAGTGAGATCGGGTTTCAGCTTAGGGTGCAGGCCGAGTAGCACGAAGGGGCTTAGTGAGTGTCCTCTGCGCATCTTCGGACTGAATGTATGCGCGATCACCAAGCATCAAACAGAGTCAGCCCTACGGCCAAACGCCCAAACAACAAATGTGTCTATCTGCATAACATCCACAGAAGCATCTTGCGAAGACCATGCTTAAGGCCAACCCCCGTAAACCTTTTCATGCCTCTTCCGGCTTAAGGTTTTTCTGCCGGGTTCGGGAGCGGTCCAATGGGTCTCTGAATCGAAGCCGTACACCTCGACCCTCTTCCAAGACAACGACCAAAACCCTAAGCAGAGCTCCCGCCCCTACCCTCAACCCCAAACCCTAAAGTCCCACATACTGAACTTGGAACCCTAGCAAAAATTATAATTTCAGCTGTTTCTTAGGGATTATAATAACCAAAATTTAAAAACTATTTCTAAGTACCCCTAAGCCACACCCTGACTGTATATCCCACTGTGCAGGCCCGAAAGCCTCTTGGAACACCGGGTGTAAGAGATTCTCGAACTCGGGCGCGCTTAGCATGCAAAGACGCTTGAAGAGCCTGGCAGGGTTCTGACATGGTTGGGAGGGAGGATGGTTTGAGTGTTGTGGTTATGCACCAGTTTAGGCTAGGGGCCTTAGTACAAATAAGGCTTTGGAATATAATGCATTAAATATAAACAACAAATTATCTATGATAAATACCTTCAGGAGCCCTAAGGAAAACAAAAGGGTGATTACTCTAGGCCTCTTTATTGAGCCGGATTCACATCGGCTGGTCTGCGGGCTGAAGCTTTAAGGGTTCCAAGGGGCTCGAAAGATTAGAGGTTTATAGGGCTTTCGGGTTAAGGTTTAGGCGTTCAGGGACTAGGGGTTTATCGGTCTAGGGGTTCCGGGGTGTAGGGGTTTAAGGGGCTGAGGGTATAGGACCACAATATAGAGGCCTTAGTAATTACAAAAGGGTTTCTTTCTTCGTTTTAGGACTGTAAGGGGATATTTTGACTATGTCCAGCTCTTCAGATGCCTATATGAAGCAGATGGATCAGAACTGTCTCTCTGTTGGAACCGCGCACAAGTTCAGGTTCATGCAGAACTTGAGCGACGCTTGTGTTCGAAATGGAAATCCATGCCCTGGGCCCTTAAACCTTACTGTAAGTCACTGCAGATAGACACAACCACACTGCACTGGCAGAAACTCGAAGCTCGGAACCTTCGGCAGTTGTTGCTTTCAAGGTGGGTTCAAGCGAAGCGCTGGAATAACGAAATCATATGCTCTGTACACACATGCATAGGATTCTGGGATTTTCGCTGCTGCATAGCGCCAGGTTGAATCGTGAGAACCCCTCCATGCCCTCCAAAAACCGCCCCTAAATCGCCAGCGCAACGTGTCTTGCAGCTGCAGAGTGCTATCCTCGGAATCGGATTGCAGAGGGCAATCCGCGGACCACAAACTGCTGCGACCATGTCGAAATAGTACATCCGCAGTGTAGACCCTTCCAGCTATGTCCCGCGATGCCGTGCTAACTAGCCAGACTCTTACATGAATCAGACTTTGGCCATGTTTACATTCTTCTGCAGACTCGGGGTCACAGCAAATCACTGTTCGCTCCAGGTCTCCATGTAGGGCCCAGGATTTGTCGTTTCAGGTGGAATGCTTAAGGACTGGAAGTGCTCAAGATATGAAGATCTCCAAAAATTTAAATCTTCGGGCTTTGGGCGAGCCTCAACCCTCTTTGCTCTCGTTAAGCGAGCCTCGAACCTGAACTTCATAGCCTCGAGAACCGGAGCCGAGCCTGAACCCCCTAAAGGACTTCGACCCCAAATCGCCAGACCAAATAGAGCCACAAAGGCCTCAAACCCTGAACCCAAAACTTGACTTAAGCCCTAAGCCCTAAACCCTAAACCCTATACCCAAAACCCTAAACCCAAAACCCTAAACCCAAAACTTGACTTAAGCCCCATAGGCTGCAGCCCGGCAAACCCCTAAGTCCAATCTCCAAAGTCTGCCAAGACAGGCCGAGACCTCTTTAAAACAAGAATCGCAGAGGAGCCACTGTAGGTTCGCTTAAAGGAGCCCTTTCCCTCCCTCAAAGGGGGCCCCTTTTTTGGGCAGGCTCTGAGATCCTGACCACATAGGTGTGCACCGGATGCGTCGCAGGCTCTAGTGCCACCTGTGCCGGGTCTCTGAGGCCGTAGGCTACGGGCTTCTGTAAGGTTTAAGTTTGGGGTTTAGGATCTATAGGGCTTAGGGTTTAGTGTGTATGGGGTCTAGGACTTAGTGTTTCTTTCCAGGGCAAGGTTTAGGATTCAGGTCTCAGGGTGTACCATTCAGGGCTCGAGGTTGAGGTTCGGGGCTGTGGGCTGAAGTTTCAGGTGCTCAACTGAGGCAATGCCTTCTTCTAACGCCCACTCACAGAGGCAAGCCCACACCTAAACTATCCCAAACTCCCAGAGGCCCTCGCTGAGCTAGTCAAAGCGAAACCCGCGAACCGCAATCCTTAACCTCCAACCTTCAGGCGGAAGAGGATACGACATCCCAAGCCCAAAATCTCAAATGTCACCCTCTAAATCTTCAGCTCCAGCCTTGCTATGCAGCTCGGCATCAGCAGCATTATCATGAGCAGCAGCTTCGGCATCGTCATAATCATGGTCACCATCACCGTCAACATCTGGTATCATTCTTGTAACTATCATGCCTGCGTCACCATGGATACGTCCCATAATGTAACTTATTCAGAAGTTTCTTCAGGACTGCCCTCGAGCCTTGTTCAAAGCTCCGGCGGCTGCAGCTACGACATGATCTGGCACCTGGGCAGTTTTGGCTGCAATGGGCCTAGAGATGTCTGTTTGAGGAGTTAGGTTCAAGCTGCAAGCTCAAAAAACCCTGTGCCCTCGGCCAAGTATCGATTGAAGTCTACTGTTGCGCTCTAACATTAGAACCACGATAACGCCCAGCATCACAATCCTGAATCCTCAACTCCCCCCGAGACCCCAAACCGTAAGCTCTTCGGCTTATCCTTACTAAACACCCGACCTGTCGCTGCCATCTGAGACGCTTGCAATCGCTGGTACCGATTTTCGCACCAGCGCCTGGCCGCGAATCTTACAGCCTGTGCACTCAAAGCTAAACACCTAGGCCCAAACCCTTAGAACTGAAGCTGCTGTGTAAATGGGGCTCCACGCTCTGCATGCGCGGGTTTAAAGCTGCAGGCTTCCGCATGGAGTTCGAAACGGTGGAGCCTGGCTTCGGGACCTTCAGACTATGTTGATCAACAGTTTTTCGGCCCGGTTAGGGCAATTCTACACGTCCTGACGCTTAGCTTGATAGTCAGGGGTTCGGACAAGGTTCTTTGTTGTATTATGTCGCAAGTAGCTACCCAGAGTTCCGACAACGACTGCTGCTGATGATAGACAGCTTCTTCTGAAAGCAAACGGTGGAACTGGATCACTTGGACGCAAACCTGATGTACTGGGTGGCCTCCTGACGCGCACACTTTCAAGCACACTACAAGGAAATCCACTTCGTCTCCACATCCTATGAACCTGAAAAGCTCGAGCGGCCTGATACTTCTCCTTGTTCCTCCCATTTGCTATTTCGTCAATCAGCCGTTGGGAGGTAAGAACCTTGGCCATGAAAGCTATTCGGAATCGCTTGGTCGGGTTTTCCAAACAAGCCCGCAAGGTGCCATCACAGAGACGAGGCTGGCTGTAGACATTAATACTGAGTAGTAGTAGTAGTAGTAGTCGTCGTCGTCGTCGTCGTCGTCGTCGTGGTCGTCGTCGTCGTCGCAGTAGCAGTAGCAGTAGCAGTAGCAGTAGCAGTAGCAGTAGCAGTAGCAGTAGCAGTAGCAGTAGCAGTAGCAGTAGCAGTAGCAGTAGCAGTAGTAGTAGTAGTAGGTAGTAGTAGAGTAGGAGTAGGAGTAGGAGTAGGAGTAGGAGGAGTAGGAGTAGGAGTAGGAGTAGGAGTAGGAGGAGTAGGAGTAGGAGTAGGAGTAGGAGTAGGAGTAGGAGTAGGAGTAGGAGTAGGAGTAGGAGTAGGAGTAGTAGTAGTAGTAGTAGTAGTAGTAGTAGTAGTAGTAGTAGTAGCAGTAGTAGTAGTAGTAATAGGCACCAGCTACCAAGAAGGTACTCTAAGGTGTCTTGCCGGGCTGGACAGGCTCACTAGGGTTCGAGATACATGCTTGTTGATGGCATGCACCAGACGTTGTGGGGAGCAGCCTCCATGCTTGATGCTCATATCTTGGCGGTCGTAGGCGAAGACCTAGAGCTGTACTGTACGTCGCCATTATCTTCATTCAAGGCATGCTGGACACCCAAGCCGTGACTCACATATCCCTCGTAGAGGGTCTATGAAGCCCCTAAACCGACAACCCTGAATCCATCAATTACACCGGACGGTCTTCTAGGACTTGGGGCGAATTGCTTGGCCCCAAACCGATCTGGTCGCAATGCTACAAGGCCAAAGTTGTCCTTTAAATTCGAGCAACTGGACCTGCCCTGCCCATGGCCTCCAGCCCAACAAAGAACCTACTGATTGCAGGAACCGTGAGCCCTTTAAACCCTGTGCAGGATAAGGCCCCCAAACCTTAAAAGTAACTCCGACACTGTAAGAGCAAAAAGCCTCACGTTGAAGACAACTGGGAGCGTCTTAGGCTCAGACGCGCGCCGCCAAGAATTCGGAGAACTCCTCTGAAACCTCGCATCAGAAGCGTGCGTGGGGCTCCGTGGGTGTGTATGTGGGTTTATAATTTCTTGTTGTCTTAGTAAGAAAAGAAGCAAACAGTGATTCAGGACGACTCTCAGAAAGCCTCGCTCAACGAAACACCCCCGAAGCATGTTGCGAATGAGAGTCATAATGCTAAACTATGATGATGGGACATGCATGGTGATGACCTCGATCTTGGAGATGATCAGGACACGGATGTCTGGCATGACTCTGCTTCGGCAGACACGATCGGTCATACAACATGAATTCTGAAATTCGGTTCGCCATCTTGGGCACACACAATCAAGGCCCATCCTTCGCTATCGTTGTCGGTCGAGACAAAGTATTCTTCTTCGCAGTGGTGTCACAATGCTGCTGCTGATGATGCTTAACAAGCATCATCGTCGCCGGTCTTGATTGTTCAAAATCCGTAACATTGTTAGTTACTTACTCCTGAGGGTTGAAGGTCGGATCGCCTGGAACCGACATTCACCTCAAAGCGACAGTAGACGGAGCCGGGATCCAAGACGCTCCAGCCCACTCTCATAGCAGCCTGTATTGAGTCAGGGCGATTCCATCTGGCATAGGAGCCTCAGCCGATCAATTAAGAAACGCCACACCCCAAAACCTGACACCCAAACCCAGACCCTACTTGTAAACCACCAAACCTAAATTGCATATTGCGATCTGCAATAGGAACTTACCGCTTATGGTAGCTCAAGGCCTAAATTAAACCCCAAACCCTAAACCCTAAACCCTGAACCCTAAACCCTGAACCCTAAACCCTGAACCCTAAACCGTAAACCAGGGTATTCCCTCGAAAATCCTGCCTCCACCTGACGCTTCTCGAAAAGGCCTTGGAAGACGAAGGGCCCAACCTGGAGCGGACTTGCGGCAGTGCGGGTAGTATAGGAGCCTTGATAAACGTTTACAGTAGAAGCAAGAAAGTTGGAATATGATTATCGTAACCCCTTTAAGGTAAATTATAGGGGATCCTACCATTAATCCATATTCCAACTTGCTGGCGTTCCCTTTATTAGGTTTTTGGGGCTATAGTCTACTATACTTATAATAAGGAACCCGCAAAACAGTAGTTATCGGCAATTAAGGCCCCTATATGAAACCCTCAGCCTATTCCCGAGTCCCCAAACTAACATCCCACCTCCTGACCGAGTACTTGAAGGTTTCTCCTGAAAGGCACATGTGTGGACCTATGCGTCGAGAAGTGTGCAATGTCTACCTCATAGGATTTACGTCTCAAACAATCCAATCGAGGGGCCTTCATAATCAGAGCGGGGCCTGGGGGACAGTATACTATAACTACTATACGGGCAATATTGCTAAGTAGTACTGAAATACTATTATTATCACTCATACTGTCTTATTACAATTATTATTCGCATTTATATTTTTATTATCTATCCACGTTTTCACCAGGCTGCACTTTGTTAGATCAAGCGCTTTTTTTGTACGGGGTTCGCTGTGGATTTGAGGTAAGAGTTGATGCAAATGGCGTCGAGCAGGCAAGCACTCCGTTCTCATGCCTCAAAAAAACTTAATATCAGCACTAATCATCCATTGTGTCAAGGCAGTCGTAAGGTCTAGCTTTAGGATGAACAACTGCCGCGGCACCTTCGTTGGCTCAACGGGATCAAAGATGAGCTTGATCGCCACCCAGTTCCTGAACGGCAGCGGGCCGGAAGTTCCCACAGCAGTTCGCATCGACGCAGTTTTGCCAGATTTCGCATGCCCACATGCTTCCTGCCAATGTGTGCAAGCTCCGTCTGTCGTCGTAATACCTTGCCCCGACCCGAGTTAAGGCTTGGCAACATTCGGATTGGCGGTTCGGGGTGCCGCGGGTTCAAGGCTGCTGGTTTTGGGGTGGAGGTTGCCGAGCATCGAAATCAGGTAATCTATTAATCTAATACCTTATCTTACTGTTACTACGAAGATATGAGATAAGGTCATATAACACACACGAATATGACTATGTGTATGGGTATCATCTATCTATGTGTGTATATATATATATATATATATAATAAGAGTCTATATAACATGATACCAACATATTAGAAATAGTTGATAATTCGGTGCTAAAATATCTTGTAGGTACATACTATGTTGGTACTTGACCCTTTGGGAATGAAGGGCTGGGAAAAAACGACGGGATGAACACGTCACTAAGGAATGAGCACAGTGATCATACCCAGGCAATACGAAGGCACACTTCTCTTCGGCTCCTCTTGAGGCATGTCTGAGAAATACGTTTAGAACTGGTCACTAACTAGGCCGCAGAATGTACCGTCACCATCATGATCATCGTGATCAACACTGCTATCACCAATATTAGCATCACAACTGTGATAGTAAAACACACACACACACACACACACACACACGCGCGCGCGCGCGCACACGCGTGCATCGTTGTCGTCGGCACGGTAGTCGTGCCATGACTAGCTGGGCTACACAAACTCAAATGAAACAGACTCGTCCTTCTAAGCTGAGATGCTTGAGCTCTGGCTCAAGATCACTGCTTGCGGGAAAGCTGTCTCTGTGGACTCTGGCGGCGGGGCGGGGGCTCGCTTTTGATGTTGGGAGCCGGGGTCCGGACGTGATGTAGCCGACGAGAGCTCCACCTGGCAGCTCCGTCACAGGGGCACTACAAGGGTTCCTGTCGGTCTGATGTTGGGGCTCTTTTCAGGGTTCCTTTTCGGATTCCTTTTAGGCTACCATAAGGAGTCTCTAACCCCAGAGCTCGGCTCGAGAGTGCCTGAGGCTGCTAAGATCATGAGCTCAGCATTTCGGCCAAGGCTGCATCACGTCTACACCGTGGTTTCTGATGCTGCTTTGCACAATGACCTTATAAGTCTGACTACTGTCGCAACAAGGGTGAGATCAGCATTACCGCACGTCCTTGAACAGTGTTGTGAGTGCTTAACAGGCAGCTACTTCTTCCGATGCTCATCCTTAGTATTTGCACGGCTGTCCGTATGATTACATCATGTTCAGCTGAACATCATTACTACACCTTGCCACATAGAAAGACCTCAAAGGAGGGCTGTTACACCTCACTAGTCAGGTATGCTAGCATATCTATGTAAACATATGCACGCAAGATTACGCATGTACACTGCTTGCTAGTCTTGCCATCTCTTGTTCACGCCTTCCCACGTTGTATTTTGCAGGACATGAGCTACATGATCTTCATAAAACTAAAGATGATTCTGTATACGCTGTCGTGTACAACCAATTATGGTGCTGCGCGGGGCTTCAGGACTGAGCCTCGGCTTCCTGAACTCAGCCCGCTTCACGGTGCATCAAAGGCTAGCGGTTTCAGGTCCCTGTGGAATTGCACCAGGGATGCGAGAGTTCTAGTGATTCTAGTGTCGGCACTTATATTGAGGGTTGCTCCCGTCCTTTACCCTAGTCCTAAGGTAAAAGCCAGAAAGTTGGAATATGATTATCCTAAACCCTTTATGGTAAATTATAGGGTATCCTACCCTGAAACCATATTCCAACTTCCTGGAGTTCCCTTTATGGGTACGCACTGGGGCCCAGGCACTGTACTTAACGAGTTCGGGAGCCGCCAAGCTCAAAATTCCTGAACAACCCTCGACCGAATCCTCAAGACACGATGCTAGAAAGAAGCATAAGGATGCTTCTAATGCTCCCAAGTCTTCGGATCATGATAACCTTCAAAACCAAAAGACCCCCACTGCTACCACCCTGAGGGTTTCGGGATATACTATAGAAGTACGGGCCGGGAGAATCATGATAGGCTTTCGGGGTATAGTCTCATAGAGCTCTATGGAGGAACCCTAGGTACAAGTACTACGAATGGAAGAGCGAAGGCTAGCAGAGCCACGTCCTGGCCTACTGGCAGTACCCAGTTGTTGGGAAAACAGATCCAGAGGATCATCTGCAAGATGCCTAAGAAGAAGCCTCGGCACTCAGAGTGCAGGATCTCGAGTTGACGGGGAGGTTCAGGGTTCAGGGTTTGGGGTTTAGGGTTTCGGGCCTGGGGTTTCGGGTTTCAGGGTGTATAGGGTGGGCTTTGGGGTTGGAAATGTTTGGGGTGATCGTGGGCTCTTCTTCCTTGACGGCCACAGACTTCACGACTTGAGGCAAAAAGCAGCTCGAGGGCAAGAGCTCTGCATGTCCAAGTTCCTTCGACCATAAAACACACTTGGCAACTGCCAGCAACAGTATCAGATAACAGCCTCCATACGTGTCATCTCATTTTTCGCATAGTATAGCGCTTTATGTTAACATTACACTCTGATGATATCATCTGACAGATGATGTTACTACTGACACAAGACAGCGATCCTGAAACCTACTACCACCTCCGAATGGCCTGCGAAGCGGAGGAAGCGAACCCTTCACAACTCATCCTGTCATGAGGAAATGGGAACCTGCGCTTTCGTCTCGTATTGGCGACATGGGAGGTTCCGAAACTTAGGGGTCCCTTATTTTGGGGTCCTTTTACTAAGGATCCTACTAATTTAGGGCCCTATATTAGCGTCCTCTATTTTCAGAAACTCCCATATATGTTTGCATGAGGTTTCAGTTCCAAAATACCTTCAGCACACATCGACAGAAGAAGGCAGTATTCTGATGCATAACCCTCATAAACCCGAAACCGCCCCGCGAAACCCAGTCGTAATTTCTACACGGATGCCTTGTGCAAGAAGCAAACTTGCAGTATCATCTTGTAACAGGCTAAATGGAATACAGAGGACATGGTGTAAGACACATGATGCACATGGGTCAGCGACTACCATTAACCAATTATGACATGACGATAACGACGATAACAGCTTACAGAGAGACATCATAAATAACATCAATTATCAAACACCCTGACGTCCTTTATGCCCTAAGAACCTGGGAAGATCCAAAGTTCCGAGGGAAGCACCGAAGGAGAGACCGGAGTTCACCAAGAATTCCAACTCCTTTGCCGTGAGCAGAGCTGAGGCAGTTGAAATCTGTTGTTCTTGCTTTCCTTCGGGGTGTACGCGTGGGTTTACGGTATAGTTTAGGGATCTTGTTTGGGAGGGGGAGTGAGGTAGTAGTCTTCGTAATACTACAAGATCGACAATAACAAACAGGGTGGACGTAGAGCAGCGGACCTTCTTGTCGTTGCTGCTATTGCCAAGATCTCCCTTGTTTAGCTGCTAACGTTACATCCCGAAGCCCTGTATCGCCATCTTTTTCCTCATATCGCTGGAGTCTTTGCTCGACGCTGTGAAGGAAGCTACGTCCCAACGTGGCGTCGTGCTGTGTGAGGGACTGGCCCTGCCGTGTTGGTGACGCCCTGTCTGGTACCCGACGGCGCATGACAAAAGACTGGAAGAGAAGCCTGCGCAGAATGATGGCACCGAGCCGATCCTCAGCTGGGCAGAGAATCGGAAGGTCAATGCCAGAGACCAGCGCAGATGTCCCACATGCGCTAAGACGACGAGGATCTTACCCTACACCGCATACCGCAAGAAGGGAGACTTCCCTGCAACACGTGAGAAGCATCACAGAACTCTGTGGACCTGTCTGCAGAAGCTCTGGCTGCCTCTCTCGCTTGCACGGAAACCTTCAAGCCTCGACTTCCCAGAGAAGTCCTCACAACCAGACGGCCGCACCAGGCTTCAAACGGCTTTTGCGAAGAATCCCAGGAATCTTGAACTTTCTGAGGCCTCTGAAACTTGAGAGCAGGACCCTGGTCTTGGGCGTTGCAACGCGGGCCTTCCGTGCCCTCCCGGACGGTACGCACGCGTTCCTTTGGGAAACTCAGCGTAAAAAGGGTGGCACCATGGACCGGACGTCGCGACAATGCGCGACCAAAAGGGAAAGAGAGAGGACCCCCCGTGCTTTGGGCTCGCAGTAACATGATATCATCTCTGCCAGCTATCGTATGCTTGCACTCGGACCTTAGTCCCAAGTCGGAGACTAAGCTGCAACCTTCGCGGCTGCTGCACCACGGGGGTCTATACCGATCCCAGGGAGCGCCTGCGGGTTGAAAGCTCGGGCGTGGGCAAAATAAGCATTGAGCAAGCACGTGCGGTGTCCCCTTAGTAGGGCTTTCATACACTGTTGCTTGCCTGGTAGAGTGATCCAGGCCCTGTTCATGACTGCGTGAAAGAAACGGTATGGGAAGTGTCGTGGCAGTAACAAGACCTATCTGACAGTCTCAGCAGCTACCCGCGGCAACTGTCGACCACAGGGGGTCAGTGCTTGGACGGTTTAGTGCGTAGGGGTTAGGGGCGACATCGTCATGGTTGCTTTGCTCATGACACGCGCGAGGAGGCACAGGAAGCTGGCAACCGTTCTCGCAAGACACCTCCTGTCAACTGCTTCCTCAAACACAGCTCCAGATCCACAGAAATCAGAAAGACGCTTGAACAGCTGCAGGCTGCTTTGCGGGAAGCAGGACGCGGGTTCGGTATTTCAGGCCGGAAGGAAGGGCTCTGCAATGCAAAGACCACACATGCCACCTCCCTCAGGCTGCCTTGAAACAAGGGCCACTCAGAGACTTCTAGCTTGGACCCTCTGTTGCAGCGAGGGGATGCCCATCTGAGCACATCCGAGCTGTTGAGTCCGAGGCGTGCTGACTTTCAGGTGGACTGATGATATTTTGCGCACACAGAGAGGGGGGCGGTAGATACAGTATGAAAGTCCTATGAACCCTCGCCGCATCTCCCTGGCTGAGGTGTCTGCACAAGGCCTACTTCCAGGCTCAGAACACTCACTGGGTGGCGAGCGCTTCTTGCCTAGCTGCGGCGGGCCTTGGCAAATCCTGCGAAGTCCCATCGTGCCTGGCACATAACGGGCAGAAGCCCAGCAGCCTGCAGAACCACACGGGAGGACTGACGCAAAGGGCATGCTCCAGTTGCACTGCGAAATTACCTCGAGAAGCAGTTCACACCATCAGGTCATGCCATCACATCTTGAAGTCTGCCTCGATGCGAAACTTCAAGCTCCGATCCCGCCTTTTCGGCCAGAACACGGTCTGGCAACTTGCCCAGGCAGACAAGTTGCTGCAAACTGGATGCATTGGGAGCGGGGAAGTGGCCTGAAAGCCTTCGGTAGATGCAGCAGCTTATGCTTGTGAAAATCTGAACTATCGTGACAGCAGGGGCGGAGACCCATCACAAGGCAAGATGCCAAGAACCAAATCAGCGACTCTTGTGACTTGAACGTCTCGCACAATGCAGAAGCCACGTCAAGCTGAGTCGCATTGCACGACATCAACCTTGTACAGTGCTCGTGGCTAGAGGCCAACACTCTCGGAACTTAATCCCTGACCTACTGGCTGCAGCCGGCATTGAAAGCTGCTGTCGGATTTGGTAGAGGGGCTTTGGCGGGCTTAGGGTTCACCCGAAATCTTTGTCGAGCCCTAAACCCCGCTGCCCCTGCTTTCTGAGCTTCAGCAATCATCCAAGCAGCCGATGTGGTCG